TTAAAACACGAGAGAGAGTGTTTTATCAGGTATAAAGTTTCGAGCCGAAAGCGAGAATCTTTATACCTGATAAAACACGATCTCGAGTGTTTTAAACGGCTTAAAAAACTCCAACACTAATTTGAAACTCAAATCCGTTAAAATTCTTGAAGAAATAGCCGTACAAATATTTTCAGAGGTAAATGGGGCAAACTGATCATGCGCGAATCACTTTACAATGCACTCTTGTCATCCCACATTGAATACGCATAAAGTAAAATAGAAGGGCTCTTGGCTATTCAATGAAATCTGTTGACATTCTGCATTGGTCAATGATCAGGTTTCAAACTGAGATCTTTGTTAGGGTCATGGACCTTTATATCTGATAAAGGTCACCCTTATTAGTATTCTTTATATAAAGAATACTAATAAAGAGTGTTTTATCAGATATAAAGGTCCATGCATGTGACCAAATAGGCTCATTCTATTGGCCTAGTAGCTCATTAATTATATATGAGTTTTTTTACTACAATAAGAATAAGTCTATCCATATTTTTACTCTGTTTGACATGAAAGATCAAGAAAGATTATCGGATTGAACGATTTCAGTCATGTCTGCATTCCTTGCGTGATGTTTACCGTGTACGGATTTGTCATCTAGTTCCTTCAAAGCTGCTAAATATGCGAACAAGTGAAAAGTTTTAAGAATAAGCTAGCACTTTTCAACATCTTCAGGTCACGAGTACACCCTGCTGGCAGGGTCTAGTTGTATTTTGTATATCATTTGATGCACGACGACCAAGAATAAACAGGATTCAATCCTGTTTGATCCGGTTAAAGCAAGTAATGAATAAACGTGACTAGCATTATGGAGACGGCGCTGAAAAACCACTGCAACAACAGGAGGATTACTCTGCCCTTGAAGTCGAATTTCAGATCTGCTGAGGTCTACAACAGCTCAACTGACTATTGAATATGTCTAAGGTAAGTTCTAAGATGTTTTTTTGATTCTAAATGGTGAGAACCAGTGAGGTTGCGCTCATTGAATAATAACCTTACAGAGCTTATCAGTACTGTAGGTCGTAAACAAGGCAAAACAGTTTTAAGGCGGATTCTTACTAGACTATGAACTAGACGCCCCTGGGGCGTGAAGTCGGACTAGCTATTTTTGCTGCGAACGAAGTGAGCAGCGACACTAATCTCGCAGGCCTCTTGGGGTCCCTGTGCCATACATACATACTGAATCGTGGGCTAGCGATAGACACTTCGAGCCTACAGTAAACATTACATAATCAGCGGTTATTATAAAATGATGCGCCGTAAACTGATCTCTTGCAACGGCAAGTTCGACAAGTCTCGATTGTACCCACTTTCGCCGATGAGACTGATCGCCGAACCCACTTTCGCCGAGTAGTCGGGACTGTTCGCCGGTGTGTTATGTTCAGTTCGCCGATGTTCGTTTTGACCCAGAAAAATATAAGTCTTCTTTCATTTCTATTTACTTTAACTAAACTTTCTGCTGATAAGGGAAGTTTTTTAGGTATACTGGAAGTTATGACACTTTTCAGTGTAAGATTTTAGGGCAGATTGTGAAACTTTAGGTGCTAACWACGAAKGCGAATTTGCGCTCGATCTTTGTTCGTCATTGAATTTTTTTATTTACAAAGTCCGAAATTTATTGAACTACTTTTGCGATTCCACAAAATTGAATGTACTCCGATCGAACAACAAGTGGAAATAAGTTAACTTGCATCGAACGAGCGCGACTGGCATGGACACTATAAACTTAATTCTATTCAAGTTTGGTCGACGACACCTTGTTCATGAGCTACAAGTACTAAGCACCCTGAATGCCGCATGCAACCCAGCAATTCAAGGTATGTTGCAGACACTTTTGATTCGAATCCTTATTGTCTCTCAATAACAAGTAAAGCACACTTGTTACCAGAGTTAGTAACTACTAACTCTGTTGTTACAAACTATAAACAAGTGTGCTTTCCTGAACCCAACCAAAGCTCACAATTTCCATTAGGATCGACGTACAAGAGTAAATTGCTATTGGTTTAACAATGAAATCTTTTATTTATCTACAATTTCTTACACAATATAAAAATTATAAATATATAGATTCGGCTTATGCAAGTTATGACTAAAATAATTGCTAAAAAAGTTGCTCTG